GTGCATAGCACGGTAACGTATTTATTTATAAACTGACGACTTGTCAATTTACACAAAATATAAACTGACGATTTGTCATTTTACAGCTAACCTAACTATCTCAAGTGCTGCATAGTGCGTAGCACTGTAACGCATTTATTTATAAACTGACGACCTGTCAATTTACACATAACATAAACTGACAATTTGTCACTTTACAGCTAACCTAACTATCTCAAGTGCTGCGTAGTGCATAGCACGTTAACGCGTTTATTTATAAACTGACGATTTGTCAATTTACTCAAAATATAAAATGACGATTTGTTTTTTTACAACTAAGCTAACTATCTGAAGTGCTGCAGAGTGCATAGCACGGTAAGGCATTTATATATAACCTGACGATATGTCACTTTCCAGCTAACCTAACTGTCACAAGTGCTGCATAGTGCATAGCACGGTAACGCGTTTATTTATAAACTGACGATTTGTCACTTTATAGCTAACCTAACTATCTCAAGTGCTGCATACTGCATAGCACGGTAACGCATTTATGTATAAACTGACGGCTTGTCAATTTACACATAACATAAACTGACGATTCGTCACTTTACAGCTAACCTAACTGTCTCAAGTGCTGCATAGTGCATAGGCTGGTAACGCATTTATTTATAATCTGGCGATTTGTCACTTTAGAGCTAACCTAACTCTCTGAAGTGCTGCATAATTCATAGCACGGTAATACATTTAATTGTAAACTGATGATTTGTCAATTTACTCATAACATAAACTGACGATTTGTCATTTTACAGCTAATCTAATTATCTTTAGTGCTGCATAATGCATAGCACGGTAACGCATTTATTTATAAACTGACGATTTGTCACTTTACAGCTAACCTAACTGTCTCAAGTGTTGCATAGTGCATAGCACGGTAACGCGTTTGTTTATAAACTGACGACTTGTCAATTAACACATAACATAAACTGACTATTTGTCTATTTACAATGAATTTGCAACAGTTCAACAAACACATTGTACAAATATATAAAAGGCAATTTTACGTGTCAACCGTCAACCGTGACCTGTAAAGGGCCCGAAACGTCGGTTTGTTTTAAAAAACAAATATACGCGATATAAATCCGGAAAAATTGTTTCATTTCCTATATTCCACTATATTTACTAAAAAAGAAACAACACAGACGTAACACACTGACCTAAGTAGTATAGTGTTTAGTTAAGTCTATACTAAACGTTAGATGCACTTCGTGAATTAGAGCCTAATAAATTACTTATCCGACGACATGACGAAAAAGGCGTTTCGAGAGTTCTCATAATCTTTCCATTCAGATATTTGACTCTGAGTGTCATCACTTCATGCTGCTAAGCCGACGATATGTCAAATATTTTTATTTAATTTTTTCTACAATTAGAAGTACTTACCATCATCAGGTGCGGGATCTGCTCGTCCCGTAAGTGTCATTAAGAGCAATGGAAAGATGAAAACGATTGTCTTGAACGTCGACGTCTATCCAAGAACCTTTGATTTGTAACAGTTCAACAAACACACTGTACATGATTTCGCTCGATTTACATGGGATTTCCTCATCAGTTTCTGACTTGGTGGCAATGAGACCATCTCGATAATATATAAATTTTCAATATCGGTCTACAATTGACGGAGAAATCGATGAATACACTGTACATGCCTATAAAATTTGAGGATTTAGTTCGATTACCATGGGATCCCCTTATTAAATTCTGACTTGGTGACAACAAGGCCACATCGAAACCCTTTCCAAACATAAAAAGAATTTTTAAAGTCGGTCCATAATTGACAGAGAAATTGATGCAAACACGTAAAACATACACGCAGCACGAATTCGGTAAAAAAAGTAATTTATTCGTCAAATTTTATTTTGTCGATTTCAAAATAGGTCCCTTATTTTATAATACAGCTAATAATAATAATGTACACACTCATGGCCCCGCACTACGGAAACCCTGTGTCGCGGGCATATTGGTTATTTATACAATTACGACGTGACAATTCCTATCCAAACCTGTTATCTATGATTTTAATAAAATATTATTATTGATATGTGCTACCTACTGACCAGTTTGAAGTTTTACTTTACCACTAAATAAATACAGATACTTAATATTTACAACGTCTAATTAGTTATTTTTGGAATTGGTGCTAGCCAAGGAAAGAAAAACAAACAAAAACCTTAATGGATTCTAATGCTGTTCAGTATGTTTGTAAAACTGCCTTTTATATATACATATGTACAATGTGTTTGTTGAACTGTTGCTAATTCACTGTAAATAGACAAATAGTCAGTTTATGTTATGTATAAATTGACAAGTCGTCAGTTTATAATTAAATGTGTTACCATGCTATGCACTATGCAGCACTTCAGAGAGTTAGGTTAGGTCTAAAGTGACAAATCGCCAGTTTATAAATAAATGCGTTTCCGTCCTATGCACTATGCAGCACTTGAAACAGTTAGGTTATCTGTAAAGTGACAAATCGTCAGTTTATATGTAAATAAATCCGTTACCGTGCTTTGCATTATGCAGCACTTGAGAGAGTTAGGTTAGCTCTATAGTGACAAATTGCCACTTTATAAACAAATGCATTACGGTCTTATATACTAT